GAATATCATCCCTACATACATGGTCAACTTCATCTTTAGTGAAAGTATGAAAAAAAGTTTAATTGTGAAACTGTGATTTTTGTCATGATAGCCCAAAATTGATGAAAAATGGGAAAATCATTAAAAATGGGATATTTTCAAATGACTGTAGCAAAATAAGAAGTGCACCACCATATGATTTTTTCTTCACCAAATATATTTTTACAGTCATATAAACCCAAAAATCAGGTTAAGAAAAAAAGTTTAATTCTAGAAATGTTTTGCTCCTCAGAGGTGTACATCCTTAACACAACAGTTTATACAAATGTAATCAAAAGTTTTTTCCCAAAGTTTAATTTAACTAAACATACATAGCTATACAGTTATTTATAACACGTGTGGTCCTGCTTTCTTTCAATACTTATAAATATATATATATTTATATACTTCTAAAAGTTTAAATATATATAACTTAAATATTGGTATACAGTTTTCAACACTCATGATCCTATATCGATGATACTTTTATTTTGGCATTGCACAAGTTCATGTTTTTCACAGACTGTTTATGAGGTCTTTAACCTTAATCCGTTGGAAATGAAATTTGTCTGGGAAAACATGGTCTATTTATAAGTTAAAATCGGGTTTCTTTTTTCAAACAATGCATATATACGAGGGTTATGAATGGCTGAGTAACGTCCAGTGGCAAATTAATTGTATATTCAGGACGAGAACATGTTAATGTGATATGAATATGAACCCCCTACTTTGTACTAGATCGCAACGGTGACCTTGGTTTTAACATGCTAGTTCACAAGACAACAGGAAGACATGGTGCCTTATCCGGACATATTTGTATGACTCCGGCCCAACCAGTCTTTGCTCTTACTCCGAAATGCCGGGTGCTTAGTGAAAAACATCACATACCAATTTTCAAGTCTTTGGTTTTACGCGGCCGTGAATCTTACGCACGAACTCCCACACTCCTGGCGGGCACGTTACCACGAGACCTCCAAAGCGGTTATGTTTTTAAGGTATTCAATTCAGACAGGAAAATGTTAATGTATTTCATATACAACTTTACAAAACTCATATTCATAAGTAAAAATAACCGCCCACCAGTCAAGTTTTGGCGCCAGCTACGAATTAAATACATATTTTGTTACAATATCATTTGTAGTCTTTACAACATTAATGTTTCAACTCCATAAGTTATAGTTAATGTTGTTAGCGATTGATTTCAGGTAACGTCAGTGTCTTTCTCCAACATCTACATCTTTGACATTCCAAACTGAACCTCTAAGAATATATACAAAATGCTCCAAAGCAAAATATATGCTGCAAGTTTGATTTTCCTATTAATTAAAAACAATGCATATATGATTGCAGGGTTTGTTGCTAGTGTTGTGTGGATGATGTAGACAGTGTTCCCGTGCTTGTGGTATACGCCCTGTTAGATTACATTTATGTTTTGTCTGCTTATGTAGTATTTCTTATAACTATTTTGGTTTACATATTTCTTATCTTCAACCTTTTCATGCTCCTATTTTCTTAGACAGTTTAAGATGAAGTATTTGAAAAGGGGGGCTGGGGTGATTATCTTTATACTATGAGATTTTTTAGATCAATTGACTATGTATTAAGAAGCCTTTTAACTATATTCGACGGTCATTTGGTTTGGGAATTCAGGTGACTTTATGTTGTAAGGATTATGAAGTTTGCTTTCCGGCATGCAGTCTGATAGAGAATATTTCTTACTTAGTTTAATTTCTACAATGCCAGTTGTCCATATTATTAATTTTCTCTGAATTTTGTAGAAGTTATTAATTTCATATTTCATTTTGATTTCCAATTTTTCCCTCAACTGAAAACCATACCATGAACTGAATTGCATACATGTTACCAATAAATAGATTAAACAGTTTTAAATGGTATCGTTGTTTTCAACAATGAATGATCACATTGAAAGCAAAACGCTTTTACCTAATTGATAAAATGCTAGCTTTGCCCTCACACGGTTGATTACATAAGAGTTACAAGACATTAACCACAGGTTTTACTAACAACCAACCAACACATTCACATTAATCATGGCGAATAAAAGTTTAATCAGCATCAACAAAAACAATACTTCCCTGACAAAATACACATACTGAACGGAACAAAAAACTCATCAAATATAAAAGTAATATGATTTGGTACGACAGACGTGCGTTTCGTCTACATAAGACTCAGCAGTGGCGCTCGTATCAAAACAGTTGAAACGCCAAATCAAAGACGAAGTTGTAGAGCATCAAGAATCGAAAGTTCCGAAAGGTTGTGCCAAATACGACTATTATCTTTCCATATAAGTTCTTAAGTTACATTAAATTCATTTGAGGAATGTTTCAAAGAAGAATCAATTAAATGTCCCCCTCAACTCTTTCAAAAGACAATCATTCTTCTCCTCAGTCATAAATTTTAAACAAATTAGTAAACAGATTTTCTGTACTAGACAAGCAAAATTGCGCCTTTGAAAAAGGTGACAAATTGACATTTAAGAATTATTCCCCATGGACTTTTTATAAAGACCTTTATTGTAAGCAATCCAACATCTATATAAATAACAGGAATCGGTTAATATACGTCAAAGATACAGCAACCCAACGATACAAACAACCAACAGACATCTAGAGGTCAATAGACATCTAGGGTCAACATGCATGTCACAACACTCATTCTTATATGATCATTGGTTGCTATAATTTAAACGATGAACCACTAATCCGGTAATAATACACTTTTGTGTCAAGGTTGAATTTTTGTTGAAATTGTTATTTATTTCAACATGTGTTATAGTTTCACAGTAAAAACAAGTCGTTTTGGAATGCTATCATTAATGTTTTTCTCTCACTTGACACTTTTCTCTAGGGCTTGAGTTTCATATTAGGATTTCCACGATAAAAGGTTGGTCACACAAGGATGCATCTGACCGAACGTTTTTTTTATGAAAACGTTGAACACATCGTCTCAAATGTTCTATGGACACCATCATGATTTGGTTGGCCCTTACTGAAGATCTGTATCAGATATGTTTTATTTGTGTGAGCCACAATCTTGTCATTCTTTCCCCGTCCTTCAAGCTGCCATGAGCTATCACCGTATATACGACGTATTACCGGACTGTAATCGTCCATGAGCTATCACCGTATATAATGCGTATCACTAGACGGTTTTCGTCTATGCGTTTTCAACGTTCATTGGCCATGAATAATATGGCAATTGTTAAAGTTTTAGAACAGGAAACATTCAACCTTTCAGTACATCAGCGTTTACCTCTGGTTTTGAGCTGGTGTCATCTTGCTCAATCTTTAGTTTCTTTTTATGTTTTCCTATTCTTTTAGTCGAGGTGTTGAAAGCTGTTCCAACCATGATTTATAGATTGCAATCTTGATATATTCTTGATTAACTATTGTTAAAAAAAGTAAACTTAATTGAGTGTGGTAAAGGGGGGTGCTTGCACGGAAAAAAAAAAGGTGAAATAAGATATAATTTCACGCTGAACGTGAAATAATTTCTGTCACGAACGTTGCACGAAAAAGAAAGTTTTTATGTGAACCTTTTGTGACTGATTCACTGTTTTCCTGTGTATATAACGTCTCTTTACTTGATATTCCCGATTTAGTACACACATTTGTGATATAAATGGTTTACGGCTTTTAAAAGTGTATATAACAATCTTCTTAATTTTTAAAATGCAAATATCCCGCAGACATATGCTGTTATGTTAGCCATGCCACCAGCTACCAGGATTCGTAGTTCAAATTATCAGAAATAGGAAGTTTGAACTGAAAGATGATGAAAAGTGCAAACACGTTATAGCTCATTACTGTTAAGATGTCGATCTTATTTAAAGTCATTATAAATTCAAAGAATCAACAAAGAGAAATCATGTATCTAAGAGATCCAAAAAGTATTCACAAGTTAAAAACATATCAGATTTTAACTTAATATGAAGTCATTATATAGAGTTGTTTCTTAGAAAAATCAAAGACCAAAATTGAATCTATTTTTCTTGATGCACGTACAGTTAAATAAGCAGAACACGTTGAACGAGGCACCTGTATTGCATGACTGAACATCAAATAAAAAAGTAAAAACACGTTGAACAAAATTAACCCTTTACCACCCTCTTAATTATTTGTTAACGTCTTACTTCAGCATTTGTTTAATATTTTAGGTTAACCTAAATTTAACCTGCTATTTGCATTGTATGTTTCCTTTTAAATTTCATATAATTGCAATACTTTGTTTAAAATTGAAATGTGCTAGATATTGTAGTTTTTTAATTATGACAAATATTTGAAGTTTAATGTATATATATTTTCTTAGCAGTTAGTAATGAATACTTATACTTTGGTTTAGTTTTGATTATGTATCCATTTGTCTAACATTGACTTCCATTTATGTTTTGATTTGTTTGAAGCATACAACTAACTTCAGACATAATTAATCTTGTGTCAAGACGTATTGGAGAAAAGTCACATGACAAATATGTTCATTCAAAATATCAAATGAAAAATCAAAGCTACTCGTCGTTTCCTTTTTTTTTTCTTTTTGACATGGTGTTTTCTGTTATTATTCCACTCAAGGTTTATGATTGTCCCCTTTGTTTACCCCCCCCCCCCCTTTTCACACACACACACACAATTTATATACCATATCATATAGTTTTTATATATTTATTTTTTCATTTCATTTATATACACATTATGTACGGGATTTACTGTCCATTATTAGGCGAGGTTTGTTTTATAATTATAAAATCATTTGTATATCAAAAATTAAAAACACTAAATAATAAAGGAACAAACTAATCGAATTTAGACTGAAGTTGTTACAATGATTTTAACTTTAAGGATTAACACCTTCTGACATAATACCTGCAAATTTTAGATTAATGTAGGGGTTTAAACATCACTTGAAATAGAAAATGACAAATATATACGTTTTAAACATACAAAATACTTTAAATGACTTACCTTACCTATACAGTGACATGTAAATTATTTATAATGACTACTTCTGAATGGCAAAATTATTTCAGTCTTCTGTCTTCATATTTGAAATCTCCAAACTTTGTACTTTTCACTCATTTCAAAAATATTCATAATCTATCTTATTCTAAATTAAAAAATATGATTATGTTATTTAAAAGATTTAAAATCCGAACAAACAGCTGTTTTCATAACGTTTAAATCACAGCACAATGTCGGAATAAAATGCGGCCAGATCAATTGTTACGATGCAAGTTATATATATTTATTGATATACACCATTGAAATAGTCACAAATTACTCGGGTAAATAGATTCATTGTATGTTCTACATATCTTATGATCAACAAGTTGTTATTGACTATTTAAACCAATTATATAGAAAATAAATGAACATTTAAATCTCATTGATGAGGTTGTAGTAAAATTAAAGTCGGCGTAGTGCAACTTCAATAGAATTTTATATTATACGCAAAAACGCTTAAGAAGCATTAATTGATTATTGTACCCTTTGACTGAAACAAACTCAATTAAAAGAAAGGAATTTCTCGTTTCTTACCACTCTTCTTGTAAGATCGTACTTATTCAAGAAAAGAAAGATATCATTAAAATAAGGCCAATAAGTTCAGTGTCTGCTTTCATTTAAGTGAAGTACATGTGTACGGTGCATAACTCAGTTGATATACACTTTTATTGCATGATGCCTGGTACAGCATTTAATCGTATAAAATATGCATCACTGGCATGACACGTGGAATGACTTTCATTTGGTATAAAAAAAAAGCAACAAAGATACCATGCAGGTCTATTATTTTGCATGCCAGACTCCGAGTTTCCTCTACAAAAGACCCATTTGTGACGCGAGAATAAAAAAAAAGTAAAAGGTCAAATAAAGTACGAAGTTGAAGAGCATTTGTGACCCCACAGACTAGAATGTTACGGGGAACCAGGACCAAAAGGGTTTAAACTAAAGAGCCTTAATGTTTAAGGTCAGTTTTGCTTGAAGAATTGCAAACCAAGTATTAGTACATAATCGATAAACCGAATTTATTAATATACATAAAAGCATTTACACCTAGGAAGTGAAGTACGCGAAGAACACTATTATATGCATTTGAGACAGCAATTTCTAACCTTACCTGAAACAGAACACTAACATGCGTTTGAGACAGCAATTTCTAACTTAAACTGAAGCAGAACACGAACATGCATTAAAGACAACAATTTCTAACCTTACCTGAAACAGAACACTATTACATGCATTTGAGACAGTAATTTCTAATTTTACCTGAAACAGAACACTAACATGCATTTGAGACAGCAATTTCTAATCTTAACTGAAGCAGAAAACTAACATGTATTTGAGACAGCAACTTCTTATCTTAACTGAAACAGAACACTAATATGCATTTGAGAATGCAATTTCTAATCTTAACTGAGACGGAACATTAACATGCATTTGAGACAGTATTTTCTAATCTTAACTGAAACGGAACACGGACATACATTTGAGACAGCAATTTCTAATCTTAACTGAAACGGAACACTAACATGCATTTGAGACAGCAGATTCAAACCGTAACTGAAACAGAACACTAACATGCATTTGAGACAGCAGTTTCTAATCTTAACTGAAACAGAACACTAACGTGCAGACAGCAATTTCAAATCTTAACTGAAACAGAACACTAACATGCATTTGAGACAGCAATTTCTAATCTTAACTGAAACAGAACACTAATATGCATTTGAGACAGCAATTTCTAATTTTACCTGAAACAGAACACTAACATGCATTTGAGACAGCAATTTCTAATCTTAACTGAAGCAATAAGTACATGTACATACCTAGTTATTAAATAAGCAAAAGTGCACGATAAATGTAAAGATTATTAAATAAGTGTAAAAATGTCTGTAATTTACCAACAATATCACGAAAGGAAAGATCTATATAGATACGAAAACAACAACTGAAGGTAATATGTAAAGCGGCTCGTACTAAGGAACGCGAAAATAAAGATGAAATGTCATGAATTACTAAAACTATCGGGAGGACAATGTGTTTTCATTGGTTAAGCTACTTTTGGAAAATTCTCACAACGGCAGTATGTATTTGCTTTTCTAAGTATTTTGTATGTATTTCATTTTCTAAGTTTTGGGTCTCGAGGATACCCGATGGTGGTTTTGCTAGAAGCTAATGTCGCCCGAACAGAAATTAACTTTTGTAAATCTCTAACTGAACGGCAAATATTGGGATCAGGATCAACTAATAGATTATACAATATATATAATAAAACATCTTAAAAAAAGTTTTTTGTACTAGGTAATGATATATTTTATTGCCGCAGTATAGAAATATGGTACTATGACAACTGATGTAAGGATTGGAATATCATAATGAATAAAAACTTTGGTATAAAAACGTTTTCTTAGCTGCACTTATACACTTAATTCATAAAATGACCAAGCTGAGGTCATCTCCGATTCATTAGGTTTGAGCATTAATAATAGAAGGTAGGGGAATGAGATCCTAAACTTAGGCCTCTATTTTTGTAAACGAATTTTTCATTGATATATTTTATAATATTCACAGCAGTGTTTTGTCATTCTATGGATTTGTTCTAACCAGTCTTTCCGTTTCTATAATGATATCTGTACATGTTCAATTATTACAAAACAGCTATGTTGCACCTAGCAGGTGAAGATAAATATGTCCAATCATTCCTTTATTCAGTTTTAATTCACCTTTTTGAACATAAAGGTTACATTTTGACGAAACACAGAAACTAATTATTTTACTTCTTGTGATACGAGAGCAGTTTCATCTTAGAATCATGTATATGCATCTATTTTTGCAGCATTTATTTGGATTTTGTATTAGATAAACCGCTTGAAATTGAAAAGACGATATGATAAATGCAAACATTCAGCCTGTAAGACATTAATCTTTGTCTTTTAACACTTTTGCCGATTAGTATATTATGCATGCTAATGCAAAAAAGAGGTAATAATAATCTGAAAAATTATGAAATCTGCACTATATAGTTCCCCAAATGAATTCATTCAATAACATCTCCTAATCATCGTAACCTTTAACAAATACAAAGCATAAACTAGTTAATAATTGAGAATGGTGTACATCTGTTCTAATTGTGATGTAATATCAAAACTCTTTTATTTTTTGTTATTCGAATGCATGTGGCTATGGGCAAAATATTGATCCAAAAATTTAATAATTTAACCAAAGCATGATGATGATGATGGATGGCTGTTTAACGTCCAATGTCAAATTAAATGCATATTCAGGACATAAGAACGTGATAAGAATATAGACATTGCTTTGTACTATACCGACACCTTAGCCGGATTTTTAACGTGCTAGGTCAAAAGATGACAGTCCGCGGGAAGACATGTCACCCTACCCGGGCACATTGTTCTGACTCTGAGCCGAACAGTCTTTGCTCTTACTCCTAAATGCCGCGTGCTTATCGGAGAAGCAGCAAATACCAATTTTCAAGTCTTGGGTTTGACAGGCCTGGGTTCGAGCTCTCGGTCTCGTATACTCTAGGCGAGCACGCTACCAAGACACCACCGAGGCGGTATAATAACTATAGTACCCCTGACAATAAAGAAACTGTAAAATTCTGCAATTCTCAAAATTGTGTTAATTTTATTAATAATAAATAGGATGATATAATCATAATCTGGACACTACGGTGCAGCTTTAGATACAACAAACTTCAAGTATATATGACCTTAGATTTTTTTAGTCAAATGTACTGTGAATACAACAATAATATTGAATGCAGATATTGTTAGATTTAAACGATAAGAAAGCAAGTGGTGTCAGCAAGAATTGCTTATCTGCAAAATGTACTACGTCACTTACATTCATGCAAATTAATCAATTCCTGTGACGTCATCCTATTCATTTACCGCGGTTTCCTTTTCTAGATTCAAGGCTTCTTAAATCTTAGAATTCTTAAAGTACTTTATGATTCTTAAGATACTACAACGATAGTTGTCAATATGAACAAGAAATTAAATTTCCGGTTATTGTCTAATGAGTTATACCACTAGGAAAAAGTAAAATACTAATAAAAAAAAAATACCAAACTCCAAGGAAAATTCAAAACAGAAAGTCCCTTATCAAATGGTAAAATCAAAAGCTCAAACACATCAAACGAATGGAAAGCAACTGTCATATTCCTGACTTGGTACAGGCATAGAAGCGTGCATTGAAAATAGGTTTTGAAAACGTAATTTAGTTTTGCAATCATGTTTGAAAGCCAATTGAAATGGTTACTATTAATGTCAAAACTGAAGCCATTTACTTGCGTTTGCAAAATCAAAACCGTGCTTTGTATTATATATCAGACAACATATATGACATGGCATCTTTAGTATAATCTTAAATAGGTCAAAGACAGATGAAACAAAGAGAGAACAATATCATAGGCCTGTCCAGGGCCTGTCTAAAAGATATTCATCAACATGCAATTTCAAAGTACACATCGAAGTAAAAAAAATTATCGATAAAGAGAAATTTTTTAAGCTGTATTCACTCCCTTCATGTTGTTCGTATGAAAAAAAAGAAATGCCAAACTCTTGTTTACAATGCATAAACAAAAAATTATATCACAACTCTGAAGCTCATTCTATTTATGCATTGTGTTTTAACATATTTTGAATATAGCAATACATTGTCTTCTATAGTCATAAAGGTGTTTTGAATATTGCGATACATTGTCTTCTATAGCCATAAGGTGTTTTGAATATTGCGATACATTGTCTTCTATAGTCATAAAGGTGTTTTGAATATTGCGATACATTGTCTTCTATAGCCATAAGGTGTTTTGAATATTGCGAAACATTGTCTTCTATAGTCATAAAGGTGTTTTGAATATTGCGAAACATTGTCTTCTATAGTCATAAAGGTGTTTTGAAGGAGTTTATTGGTGTGTAGAACTCGGTCGACTCATCTACAAGCTTAATTAAATCTGAAGAATTTTATGATTAGTTCGTGAATGAAATGCCGAGTTAACATAAAACTCCGTAAAATAACTTTTGTCATCTGTGACATAAAGATCTTACAACAGTCAACCAATATTGACGGTGTCCGTAAGTCTTTCGAAAAGATAACCAGCATTATTATTAAGAACCATTGGTTAATTAGCTTTCTTATAGGTATAGGGGAGGGTTGAGATCTCACAAAACATGT